CCGATAGACACCCCTACACCGATAGACACCCCTACACCGATAGACACCCCTACACCGATAGACACCCCTACACCGATAGACACCAATAGACACCTGAGCGTACATACAAATTTGTGAAGCTAAATTCGATGCAAGCGACTCCAGAGAAAAGGCCGAAGGGGAGGCAGACCTTTGTAGGTGGACATGCGCACACAGAGGGTGGGGAAATTAAAACAAAATTATTTGCAAACTGCCGGGGAGAGCAAAATGGGAACAAAGTTGTAGGATTAAAAATTACGAAAAAAATGGGATTATCCAAATAAATGGGCCATAAATAAGGTGCATCAAAAAAAAAAAAAAAAAAGAAAGAAAGAAAGAAAGGAAGAACGAAAGAGAAAAAGAGTGAAAGAGAGAAAGAAAAAACGTTATAAACAACCAAGCAGACGAAAAAAATTAAAAAGAATTATGCGCTTTATAAAAGTAGCCTTAAAAATTTAAAAAGTGTTCCAAATTGGGTGGCGATGATTAAAAAAAAAAAGGGGGAAACATTTGTTGGTGAACACCGCCACGACGGTGTGTGGTTGACAGTGGGGCGTCCCCTTCCTCGCACCCTTTGTGACCCCCTGCACACACAGCGCTGCTACTTAAAGATGGGATTGCGCATGTTCAGCAGGGATTGCTCGTACGTCTTGATGTCTAAGTTCTTACAGTAGGGCTTCTGATGTAGGCTGGGGAGAGGCAGCTGGCTCTTGTCATATTCCAACTCGTGAATTTCGTCGATGTCTATTTCGACACAGGTCTTATCGCGACAGCACTTATTATTCATGTTGTACCTCTTCTTAATTTTCTTCATACAATTCAAAGACAAGGGGGATTTATCTTCTTTTAATTCGTAAAATGTAATGAAATTTTTGCACGTAATTTTCTCATATATTCTAACAATAACATGCTTGAATATTATAATCATCATTCTGATACAATTGAATGCATCATTTATGGTGAAAATGATATTTTGAAATGCGTAAAATAACATGAGTAAGTGTATATGCAGATTATTACGAACATAGTGGTAACAAAAAAAATTAAAATTATGCTCATATATATCTTTATTTACACATATATTGTAGTAAATTGCTAGGATATATAGACCCATAACTAAGACGTAGTGAGCGAATATGTAGCAGAATATTTTGTACAATATTCCATACATTGTTAGGATTACACTAAATTTATTGTTGTCTTTTATAATGATCCTTAAAATGAATAGAGAAAATACAATTATAGATATCACCAGCAATTCTCCAAAGAAGGAATATATTGCATATTTATATATTTTGTTCATTTCCAGATAAATATAGTGCATTATGAACTCACCATCGATTAAATTTACTATATCTATTTCTGTGATTAGGTTATTAACTTGGGGAGTTTCTTTTGCGCCTTCCTTGCTGCTTTTTTCTGCGAGATTGGAAGAATTGCCCTTTACGAGGACAGTGTTTTTATCCTCCTTGTTACTATCCACGCTGTTTTCATCCTTCCAGGGAGAATCCGAATTGGGTTCCTTTCCCTTCTCCTTTTCCTTCTCCTTAGCTTTGGAACTTCCTCTAAAGAGGATGTCCAAATATTTCCTCTTTTTTTCATTATTTTGCAATACTTCACTTTGGCTAGTCAGTGCGTTCATATGCGCATCCGCGCTATCCCCATACGCTGCATGTGAACCATTTTTAGCAGGGTCTAGTCTATTTCGAATAGTTTCTTTTAAATTTTCGTGTTCCCTGGAGTGTCTATTTTGCGAGTTCATTTCGAATTCGTTATTCGTGTGTGGGAAGTGTGTTATGAGGTAAATCCCAATCATTATGTTGACAAACAAAGACATTAATCTCAAGTACAGTGCGAACTTCTCTTTGTTCCGCTTATTATTTTTATATATCATTTCGGAGGTATAATAATAGGCGTCGTTATAGTACGACATTTGTCTGGACAACTGTTTTTCATCTTTAAAAATGTTTTCTTGCTCGTTTGTATTCTCCATGGAGAGCATGAAATATTTGGTGATGCTGTTACTGTTCCTTTTAATGGGACTGTTGCTGTGGGCCTCCTTAGAGTCCCCATTTACGTTATGGATTTTATTTTTTTTCCACTTTTTGCACAGCTTATTTCTGTATTTTGTGTCCTTCATCGAGGTCATATTATTTTTCGCAGACGGTGTTCCCTTTTTTCTGCGGCTCTTTGATTTTCCTTTTTTGCGTGGGACGCTTCCCTGCACGATTATGTCTTCTTCGTTTGCGCTCGCCACGGCATGCACGCCGCTGTCCGCAGCGCAGATGGCATAGGAGTCGCCTTCATCTTCTTCGTCCTCCTCATGGTCTCCCTCTTCGTCTTCCTCATCGTCCCCCTCTTCATCGTCTTCCTCTTCAGGATCATATTCGTACTCTTCGTCCTCCACTTCTCCCGCCTGGTGACTTCCACTCCTGCCCCTGTAATACCGGTATACCTTTTCGTTATATTCACTAAAACTGACCTTCTTTTGGAAGCTTTCATTTTCCAAATCCTGGCTCTCTAGCAACTCATACCTGCTCTCATTTTCGTCATAATTCATGTCTTCCTTAAATACATAGCTGCTAATGAACGAATATATAGTCAATAAATTGCTGTCATTTTTTTCATCCTGTTGTTCTCTATTATTTTTTGTAGATTCATTTTTTTCACTCTTAAATGTATTGTTTCTGTCATAGCTGCTGGCTGTTTCCATTTCTATTTATGCATTTGATGTGGGTGGGTTTTACCACTTTGTCTTCGGGCGTGTGGGGCCTACTTTATTCAGCTGTGTGCAGCGCTTGTTCAGGGACGCCACAAGTGAACGTGCACAGGCAAATGCGCTATGTGGAGGCGCGGTATGATTGTTCAGACGCTGTACACATATGCATTACGGGTACTTGTCTCTCTGCAGCCGTCTACCTTCCCCAAATTTCCTGTCCAAATCTCTCACGTTTCGCTTGATAGTACTGTTAGTTTTGATCTAATCCCCCTTCCGCTTAAAAAGTTGGATGACTCAAAAAAAAAATGGACTGAAATGGACATAACGGCGGAAAAAAAAACAAAAAACGGGAAAAAATTGGAAACAATGAGAGATAGTGAAAAATAATGACAGATAGGGGAAAATAATGACAAATAGTGAAAAATAATGACAAATAGTGAAAAATATTGAGAAATAGTGAAAAATATTGACAAATAGTGTAAAATATTGACAAATAGTGAAAAATAGTGGAAAAAAAAGGAAACAAAGGAAAGGAAAAGGACTCCCACCAAGAAGGAAAAGACACGCGAAAAAAGTGCGTGGAAAATTCCTCGCTAAAATGGTGCACAAAAATGCATTTCAGTTTTTCCTTTTTTTTTCCTTCTTCAAAATGTGCCAAAATGGCCAGTGATAAAATTGCGAAGGAATTTTCTACACTGACATGAGATTTTCATGCGCTAGAAAATTAGCCCGCGATGGGATATTTCACAAACTGTACATCTGCGAAAATTGACAGTTGGGTAGTGTGTACAGAGTTTAATTAGTACAATTGGTTAATAGGCAAAAAAAAAAAAAAAAAGGAGAAAAGAAAAGAAAAAGAAACTCAACTAAATAATTAAATGAATAACAAACTGGAGAGAATGTAAGAACGAAACAAAGAAGATTTCACCATATATGTTAAAAAAAAAAAAAAAAGAAAAGTTACGAAACAGCTGTGAAAGGATGTGTAGGGGGGGAATTAATGAAAGCGCTGTGTGCTTTTTTTGCACATTAGCATGCTAATGTGTTCGTATGAATTTCTTCCGCTTCTTTCGCAAAAAAGTTGTTTATATCGCGGGAAGGATGACGGGATTTAGTGCGTTCATTGCGGAACCTAGGGGGACGGCATTATGTGGGTTAATGCGTTATAGAGACGCCTGTGTGTTGAGGTGTGTGTGAGTAAAGACACGTGTGTAGAGACACGTTTGCGTAGAGCGCTTTGTGTACGGTAGAGCGTGCATATAAGCGAGCGCGCCCACGGAGAGGTTCCCTCATGGCGATGTTTTAATCAAACCGAAGTATGCAGCATACATAAGTTTGTAACGGGAAAATTGCATTCCGATTAACTGCTAAAATGTTGGAAATGTATACGTGTCATCATTCGCGCTGCAATGGGGGAGTGATATCCGAGGTGAAGACCACAATGAGTGAGGGTTAGTAATCAAACGGATTTCTCAAAAATGGGCACAGTGCCTATGAATTTGGAAAGGAAAGGAACAGAGGCAAAGTAAAACTGAACAGTCATGCCCATAGAAGGAGCTAAGAATTTGCAGAATGCATTTGTTTTAGAAGGCACAGGGGTACATGTGGATGCTGAGTTTTTAAACACGCGTAATGCGCTGGAAATGAAAACAAAATGAGCTCCTCTTGGAAAAAATTTTGCAAGCGGTCGACGGAGGGGGAAGTGTGCATATGATTATGTATATATGTACATGTGTACGTTGTGTGAGGATAATCGAAAACAAGACCGTACACACGGCACGGGGAAAATACGCATGCTGCCCGGTTATCCCAATTTACGCATGCGAAAGAGCCATTCCTTGCAAATAACACTTGGAAGGGGAGCTTGCAGTGAGCCGAGATCACACCACTGCACTCCAGGTTACCCAGTCGCACAATACACTTGCGGTTGGAAAAAAAAAAAAATAACCCCTATTTTAAAGTAAACTTCCTGAAGAGGGGGCATAAAATAAACATGCTATATCATGACAGTAGTGTTAAAATCGAATTCATCATTTTTTATGTTTATAGTGCGCGTCCATATGTGCCCTGCCGTTTTCCGCCCAATAAATCGCGACGCATTTTGAAAGAGATACCACAACTTCGTGGGCGTACAAAGGGAAGGAAGCGCAGCACCGCACGTGTACAGACAAGTGCATATGTACGTGCATGTATAAGTAAATTAATGTATATATATATACATATGTATTTGTATTTTTTTTTTCTTTTTGCGCATTAGCGTTCCCCGCGTGATGAATTAAAAAGAGGGGAAATGCATGGTGTCCCCCACTCCCCAGAAAAATTCTGCGCTTCAGAAGGCATGTTCCGTTTCGTGTCTGCTTCAGGCCTTTGTAACAATTTGGCGAACGCATGTGTGCGTGATTGTTTTGTTTTTTCCTTTTGGGAAATTGGAAAAGTTAGACACGTTGGATGTACGCGAAGAAGGGGAAGAATTAGCCTGGGATAATTTGTTCCCTTTTATATTTGAACATTTTTTGTGTTTACTTTGGGAACGAAGTTGGTATTTATGCAGACGAGTGAGTATTTTTTTTTTTTTTTTTTCGTGTTACCCTCTCCCCCTGCGTAGCGTTGTTTAGTGGCGCACCTTTCTCATTTGTCCCACCCCCTGCCGTATTCTCTTTGTAATGATTATTTAAAAAAGAAAAAAAAAGGATTCTTTTTTTTTTCATTGAAAAAATGCGCAAGATGGATTATACAGACGAGTCTAGTGAAGATATACATTCCAAAAGCGGGATCTCTTCTGACGGGTCAGAGGAGCGGAGTGCGGAGTCCACGGAAGGGGAAGAGGAATCAGGAAAGGAGTTGCGTGCCGCCGACAGGAAGAAGTAACACTTCATGAGTGGGCGTGAGAAAGGGGCCAAATAGAAACACACGCGCGTGTGCATCTGAGTGTGAATCTGCGTGTAATTCTGCGTGTGTTCCCACGTATGTGTGCAAAAATCTGTATCTTCTCCAAAGAAAAAAAAAAACGCCCGTTTCCTCTGTCCCCCCGACAGAACGTACCGATGCGCTAGCTGCGGAAGAGCCGTGGAGGATGTCCTGATTTTCTCATGCAAGCATTTAATCTGCCTAATTTGCGCCAGCGAACAACTCCACAAAAAGTACGAGAAATGCATGAAGGCATCTTCAGAGGAAAAAGAAAAGACGAAGAGTTCGCGAAATCACAAGATAAGCGAATGCTTTTTAAACTCCAAGGGAGTAGCCAGCGAAATAGATAATGATAAACTAAGTGAACTATTCAAAAAAGAAAAACTAGGTTACATCACATGCTACATATGTAATGTTAAGAATAAACTTACCCTAGACACGATTGAGTTGTTGACAAAGGTTGGGTTATTTTCTCATGACGTTTTGAATGTGCACAAGTTTTTTTTCAATTCGAACACAAGTAGGGAATGTGCGAATGGGAAAATTAGTGAAGAGCATATTAAAAAAAGCAGCGTCCAATTTAACGATACGTTAAACAGCGATGTTGTTAAGAATGAAAATTTGAAGAAGCTACTAGTGTCAAGTAGCATGTACAGATATTTAGATGAGCATACAGATGATATGACTAAATATTCGTACATATGTAATGTGTGCTCATTGAACGAAGCGGTGATGTACTGCAATGACTGCGTAGAGTACCTTTGCAAAGAATGTTGCAGCAGCATTCACCAAGATGATATCATAAATAAGGTAAATTTTACGGATAAAAAAACTCATGATTATTATGAAATCAACAAGAAAGGGATACATCTTAAAAAACTTGTAAAGTCGCCAAAAAAATTCCTCAACATTACAAAGGAAAACATTGAAATATTGCACGATACGGATGGAGATAGCTCGGAAAATAAATTTGTAGACGAAAATTTACGCGAAACAAAATTTGGAGATAATTACCCCAAGGCGATTTACAAAGTTTACGATGATGATAACTCCGATTTTGACAACTATGATGAGAATCACTTTTATGAGAGAAAGAAAAAGCTTATAGATAGAGAAGACACGAAGAAGAAGAGGATCCACATTTCGAAGAAGCTCAATGATTTGGTGGAGGACATGAAAAATGGAAGCAGCTACGACAGTGAGAATTCTACCGCAAAGGGGACCACAGGGTCAGTTGCCCGCACCGGGGGGAAGTTCAAAGCCGGAACAACAAGTGGCAGATATCGTACGAAAACCAAGCGCGGGAAGAATGGCGCTAAGCATCGCCGCAAACCTCCTGCGGGAGAGAAGAGATCGTGTAATCTTGTACCAGGTAAGAAAAAGGATCAAACGGGCGAAGCTGAGGAAGGGGAAGGAATATGCCTTCTTTCGAACAGCACAGTTTCCCACGTAGATGTCAGCTCCAGTGAGAGTTCCATCTCCTCGGCCAACAATTCCGAAAAGGAAATATCCATAACGGATCTAAGCAGGGGAGTACATAAAATTGATAGCAATGTTATCCTGAAAGATGAAAGTATAAATAGTAAAAATTTCACAACAATCGAGAATATCAGATGCAGCCAGCATTATAATTACCCAATCCAATATTTCTGCCACACCTGTTGTAACAAGTGCTTCTGTTCCGAATGTGCGATTAATGGAGTACACACAAGTGTGTGTAACATTGAGAATATAAACACAGCATTCATAACGGTATTAAATAATTACTTAATAAAATGGAACGAAATTATAAATGAGCTAATAAATGACTTAAATAGAAATTTTTATGAATCTCTGGAAGATATTAAAAATGATTGGTCTCTTACCCTAAGCGAATGCTACTATGATTTGAATAGTAAAATAGGCTACATCACTAATAACCTGTCAAAGAAGGAGAAAGAAATTTTCGAACAGCTGGATCTATACATGGATACATTTAAGAGAGAAAATATGGACTATATCGAACTGCTGGACTCTAAATATGACGAGATTGAGAAAACGATTAACATCATTCGGGACAATAAATTTCAAAATGATCCAATCGAGATGATAAAATTTTATAGGAAGAATATTAATACCATTGATAGGACTATTTTGGTAAATAACGACTTCAAGCCTATAGAAGATTTGTCAAGAATTCAACAGAGTAAAATTTTTTACATGGACTTGTACGCCTCGGAGATTGTCAGTTATATGCGGCACTTGCAGGCCTTTTTGAAGCCGAACGTCCCCTATTTACCGTCTCCCTAGGGCCTGGGCGAAGCAGTCCTCCTGCGCCGGGAACTCCGCGATGCACGTGTGGGCACGAGAGTACGTGGGCATATGCATAAATGAGGACATCCATACAAAGGCATATGCATATATGGCGACATGCGTACCTCTCCACATGTGTACGCCTCCACGTGGGTACTTTTGTAGATACGTGCATTCTCTAAGGCGACGCGCATGTGCGGGAACGTTACCCCCATCGATGGCCAGGTCGTAGATCCCTTGGAAAGCGACGGGCTTGTAGAGGGCCCTCCTTCGCGCTGAAGCACTTTTTGAAATACGAATGAGAGATGAACCCAACTTGCGGTATCATCTAGTGGCAGACGCAGATATTCACCTGAACAGGAGAGAGAAAAAAAAAGCAGGCAAACTAGCTATTCAAATACGTACATGTATACGGGTTCATGGCGGTTTACGGTTTGCGCTTCGCGCTGTACGCCTTTTTACAGCCCCATGATGAATGTCTCCAAAAGAATGAAAACGTAAAAATGGTCAGCATTTTTATGCCTATAGGAAAAAAAAAAAAAAGTACCCACAAGCAAATGCACAGGCAGGGGAAAGTGCCGGAGCAAATGCAGCAGCAAGTGCAGAAGCAAGCACAAATGGTTAGTACCGAATATTGCAAAAATGATTTTCAGAAAAAAACGCGTACAGGGAACCGAAGCCAAATGGGACATGTTGCCCCTAACAACGTCGAATGTAAATACTGAGATGAAATATTTTTCTCACGTATGCTAGGGAAAATTTTGCTTTTTTTCTAAAAGACATGAAGTTTTTAGGAAGTTTATCGTCCCCTCTTGTGACGTTTGTGGGAACGGTGTTTGTCTTTTTAATATTTTTTTGTCAGATGGGTAACGTACTTATTTGGGCCAAAATTGAAGGGGCAAAATGGATGAAAAAAAAAAGGCGTACACCTTTTGGGGCCTTAAGCTAGGTGTACTTTTTTTTTATAGTTTTCTTTTTTCATAATTTATGAATTTAAATTTTTAATATTAAGCGTGTACCATTAAATTTTTTATTAATCCTTTTCTACCAAAATTTTTCTACAAAGGTTTTTCCAGTGAATTTTTTCTATTGATGTTTTTCTACAAAGGTTTTTCTACCAAAGTTTTTCCTACTGATGTTTTTTTACTCAAGTTTTCCCATTCACATTTCCCCCTGACTTTCCCATTTCGCTTTTCTTTTTAAAATTCTAATGTTTCCCCTTTATTTTAACCTTTAAACACAAAATAAGTAACAAAGCGGCTCTCGCCCCCTTTTAAGCAGTGTAGGATCTTTTTCCACAAGAGTATATAGCTTACACGCAACAGTGGTGTGATATCGCTCAAAACAACGGTTAGTCATTCTCAGTGCTTTCCTTCGCGGCACGCTTGCATGGATAGATGCTTACGTACAGTGGTAGATGCGTGCATAGAGAGAGGCATTTGTAGATTGGTGCATACGGGGTACATACATATGTGCATGCACAGATAGATGCATACACGGTAGATACATATGTGCATGCACAGAGAGATACTTAGATACATGCATATATAGCTATATCGACAGATCCATTCATATCTACACTGACAGCATAGGCTGAGAGGTGCATACACAGCTAGGCAGGCAACAGGACGCACATCAACGACCGTTGAAGCTTTCCCCCCCTCACGTGTACGCCTTGCCCAAGCATACATAAGAGAGTAACAAAAATAAGAAGCTGTAACAACGCTGGAGAGTTCTACACTTTTCGTCGTGTTCTTAACATATATACACATATGATGAGCGAAGTACACAATTCATATGAGAGAGAAAATCCCCCCTCGCACGTACAGTGCAAACGACAACCTCAGCATGTGTTGCGTAGAGGCAGGCGTGGTGCTTCTAGAAGTAGTGTATTGTCCAACCAAAAAAAAAGCATGAGAAAAGAGGGAATAAAAATTAATCGAAAATATAAAAAACGTATGATTGCAAAGATGAGAGTGCATAAGAGAAAACACGTGAAACGTAAAGCTGGAAGGAAAGAAGCTCTTCTTCTTAACAGCTTATTTAAAGGGGTAGCAGGTGCGGGAATAACTCTCCTCCCACCATTTGCCACTCCCGAGAGAGGTTGCTGCAATGTGAGTAGAGCAAATGGAATAAGCCCTGTGTGCGAATATCCATGTTATAGAGCGATCAACGGGGAACATCAGAGGCAGAATATATATCCAGTAAATTTCGACAGTCAGATACATCTTTCGAGCGGATTTCACGGCAACGAGTACATACAAAGTATTCGACCGTTGGGGCAACAGGGAAGCACCTATGCATTATGTGTCTACCCCCGTGTGAGTGGATTGAACATCAGGAGTACCCCATATTGTCCTAAGTGGACAAACAGAGGAGGTGCAGCTCATAACGGAATGGCAGCTCCGAACGGGATGGCAGCTCATTACGGAATGGTAGCTCATTACGGAATGGCAGCTCATTACGGAATGGCAACTCATTACGGAATGGCAACTCATTACGAAATGGCAACTCATTACGGAATGGCAACTCATTACGGAATGGCAACTCATTACGGAATGGCAACTCATTACGGAATGGCAGCTCATTACGGAATGGCAGCTCATTACGGAATGGCATTTCAAAACCGAATGGCATTTCAAAACCGAATGGCATTTCAAAACCGAATGGCATTTCAAAACCTAATGGCATTTCAAAACCTAATGGCATTTCAAAACCTAATGGCATTTCAAAACCAAATGGCATTTCACAACCGAATGGCATTTCAAAACCTAATGGCATTTCAAAACCGAATGGCATTTCAAAACCTAATGGCATTTCAAAACCTAATGGCATTTCAAAACCTAATGGCATTTCACAACCGAATGGCATTTCAAAACCGAATGGCATTTCACAACCGAATGGCATTTCAAAACCAAATGGCATTTCACAACCGAATGGCATTT